CTCCCAAAGTGCTGAGATTACAGGTGTGAGCCACGGCGCCCGGGCTCTTTCCAATCTTTTGATCGTCCCAATCTCCATCTATTTCTGCCTATTTCTTCCTCCACCGCTTCGACTCCTCTGCTCTCCCTGTTAAATTCCCTCTTCCCTGTTACACCTGCTTATCCCCTCTGTGGCACCCCCAGATCCCAGGCCTCCCGGTGCTGTGGTTCTCCCTCTGCTCTCCTTGTTTCCGGCTGACGGCGCTGTCTGCCCCGGCTCCAAATCCCTCCTCCTCTCCCCGACTCTGTCGTAAGGAGCCTCCTCTGCTGCCCCTCTCCTTATCTTGCTGTCCTTCATCTCTGGACATCGTGCTTTTCTGTCCCTGCTACTTTCTTGACTGCTTCCTTCACTGTGTCCCTTTGCAAGTCCCTCACCCATCCTCCACTCTGCCATCTGCTTAGGGGTCTCCCTCATTTTTCTTTTCTCTTTCTTGGTTCTCCCATCTCCTCTCAGTTGCTCTTTGTCTCTCTCTCTCCGGATCCCACACATTCACAGGGGGGTTTGGAGTAAGACGCCTGCATCCAGGAGAAGCGCATTTTCCAGGGGCTGGAGCTGGGCAGGCAAGAACACGCGGTGTCACAGGCACCTCCCCACCGCGGGCTCGGGGAAGCGGTGACTGCGGAGAGGAGGCCTGGGGAGCAGCAGGGCCCGGCTCGAGGAGGAGGGAGGCGGGGGCAAGACGGCGCCTGAGGACAGGGGTGGAGTCTGCGGGATCCCAGGACCAGGCACAGGACGCGGCCTCCCCGGGACTGGGGCTGCGGCGCTGCGCTCCTGCGGCCGATGTGGGCGAGGGTGGGAGGCGCCCAGGGCGGGCGGTGAGGACTTTAAGCCGCGGGGCGGGAGGAGGAGTCAGTAAAAGATTTTAAGCAGGAAAATCCTGCTTAAACTTTTCAAAACCGGGAAAGGCCGTGTTTACTTGGCCCAGGGCAGAAAGAGCAGGGGCAGGGACCAGCCTCAGGGCGACTTGAACCCAAAGGGAAGCGTCTCCGGGCCCACACCGCGAGGCCTGCGTTTACCTGAGGTGGAGGGCGCGGTGCGGAGACGTTAAGTCCGTAGCGACCCCGGGGCATCGGGTGTGCGAACGGGGGACGGCGAGGCGCAGGTTGAGGCTACACAGAGGAACATTCATACGCCATGGTGTGATGCTTGCTCCGCACGATCCACTTCCGGGTCTGGGGGCGAACTGCGCGTAGGGCAGCGACCGAACGGCCGGGGGCGGGGCCAGAGAGGGGCGGGACCGGATGTGGGCGGGCCGTTGAGCGTTCCGGGCTGGGGCGGGGCAGGGACCCGAGGGAAGGAATGGCGAGGAGCCACGGGGGATGGTGGGGGTGGGGAGTGGTCGCGTGGGAGGCACCTGGGGTCGGGCCGAGGAGGGGCCGCAGGGGAAGGGCGGGGCGGAACCGTGGGGAGGGACCGCGGGGAGGGACTCGGGGGAGGGACTGCGAGGAGGGACCCAGGGGAGGGACCGCGAGGAGGGACCGCGGGGAGGGACCCGGGGCAGGGACCCGGGGGAGGAACCGTGGGGAGGAGCCGTGGGGAGGGACCCGGGGGAGGGACCCGGGGGAGGAACCGTGGGGAGGGACCCGGGGGAGGAACCGTGGGGAGGGACCCGGGGGAGGAACCGTGGGGAGGAGCCGTGGGGAGGGACCCGGGGGAGGGACCCGGGGGAGGGACCGTGGGGAGGGACTGCGGGGAGGGAACCGGGGGAGGAACCGTGGGGAGGGACCCGGGGGAGGAACCCACTGGCGTCTGCGATTTCGTGTGATGCCCACCGCCCACGCCCAGAGCCTTTAGTCTGTCAAGTGTCTTGCGGAACGGCGTAGGTGTTTCAGTTTCAAGTTAAAAGTATAGTTGTCGCCGGGCGCAGTGGCTCACGCCTGTAATCCCAGCACTTTGGGAGGCCGAGGCGGGTGGATCACGAGGTCAAGAGATCGAGACCATCCTGGTCAACATGGTGAAACCCCGTCTCTACTAAAAATACAAAAAATTAGCTGGGCATGGTGACGCGTGCCTGTAATCCCAGCTACTCAGGAGGCTGAGGCAGGAGAATTGCCTGAACCCAGGAGGCGGAGGTTGCGGTGAGCCGAGATCGCGCCATTGCACTCCAGCTTGGGTAACAAGAGCGAAACTCCGTCTCAAAAAAAAAAAAAAAGCATAGTTGTTAGTTACTTATTTTGAAAATCAAACTGTTTTCTTCTTAGATTGGAAAACGTTTTTTGCTGAAACCATTTTTTGCTGGCGCGTTTACCCAGTCATGGTATTGAGGCTGAAGCAGCCCAGGAGACTGGGAACGTGAGTCGACACGGAGCATGATGGCATCCTGGAAAGTTTCTGTGATTAAAATAAATAGAAATAATTTCATTTAAAAGCCCTGAAATGAGCAATAACTTTTTAAAAAGATATAAACTGCATTCTTTTTTGTTATTCTATTCCATACGAGACGACAACCTCAAACACCTATACATTTTATTTTTGTCTTTTTTCTTTTTTTTGATACAGAGTCTCACTCTTGTCGCCTAGGCTGGAGTGCAGTGGCATGATCTTTGCTCACTGCAATCTTGACCTCCCGGGTTCAAGGGATTCTCTTGCCTTGGCCTCCCGAGTAGCTGGGATTACAGGCGACTGCCACCACGCCCTTTAGTAGAGATGGGGTTTCACCATGTTGCACAGACTGGTCTTGAACTCCTGACCTCAGGTGATCCACCCGCCTGAGCATCCCAAAGTGCTGGGATTACAGGCATGAGCCACCACGCCTGGTCGCAAGAACTACTTTCACCTACTGAATATATATTAAGTCTTTTGCCACAAAAGGAAAATATACATAATTTATCTTAGAACAGTTAAGATATTTACCACTGTAGATGACAAATTCAGACTTAGGGAAGGAAAGCGTTTATTCCAAAGGACTATTGCAATTGAGAGTGTTCCAATCACATGATATGAAAATGTCCAAGACATACAAACTGAAGAACTTTTCATCTATGGAGGAGTAAACAAGACTAGAAAGCACAAGCACAAGTTATGGGGCTGTGGATGAGTGTTTGGCATGACTATAGTTATTCAGGGAAAGTATGTTATGTTATGTTATGTTATGTTATGTTATGTTATGTTATGTTATGTTATTGGAGACAGAGTCTTGCTCTGTCACCCAGGCTGGAGTGCAGTGGTATGATCTCTGCTCACTGCAACTTTCATTTACGAGGCTCAGGCAATCCTCCCACATCAATCTCCCCAGTAGCTGGGACTACAGGCACATGTCACCAAGCCTGGTTAATTTTTGTATTTTTTGTAGAGATGGCATTTTGCCATGTTGCTCTGCCTAGTCTTGAACTCCTGAGCTTGAGGGATCCGCCCATTTTGGCCACCCAAAGTGCTGGGAATACAGACGTCAGACACCATGCCTGGTCTATTTATTTTTTGAAAGAGCATCTTGCTCTGTTGCCTAGGCTGGAGTGCAGTGTTGAGATCATAGCTCACTGCAGCCTTGAACTCCAGGGCTCAAGTGATCCTCCCACCTCAGCCTCCCAAGTAGCTGGGACTACAGGTTTGCACCACCACACTCCACTAATCTTTTCACTTTTTGTAGAGGCAGGTTCTCGCTATGATGCCCAGGCCGGTCTTGAACTTCTAGCCTCAACTGATCCTCCTGCCTTGACCTCCCAAAGTGTTGGGATTACAGGTGTGAGCCTAGCTCATCATGGAGTTCAAGACCAGTTTGGGCAACATAGCAAGGCTCCTATCTCTATAGAAAATTTTGAAAAATTAGCTGGGCATGGTGGCACACACCTGTAGTCCCACCTATCAAGAAGACTGCTTGAGCCCAGGAGTTTGAGGCTGCAATGTGCTATGATCCCAGCACTGCACTCCATTCTGGGCAGCAGAGTGAGAACCTGTTTATCTTAAAAAAAAAGAAAAAAGCCTACTCTTGGGAGGGGCTGTTGTTAAGAAAAAGTCCTTCCAAATGACACTGAGCAGGAATGTTTCAGTGGACAGGCATGGTGGTTCATGCCTGCAATCCCAGCACTTTGGGAGGCCAAGGTGGGCGGCTTACATGAGGTCAGGAGTTCCAGATCAGGCTAGCCAACATGGTGAAACCCTGTCTCTAATCAAAATACAAAAATTAGCAGGGCATGGTGGTGCACAACTGTAATCCCAGCTACTCGGGAGGCTAAGGCAGAATTGCTTGAACCAGGGAGACAGAAGCTACAGTGAGCTGAGATTGCATCACTGCACTCCAGCTTGGGTGACAGAGTGAGACTGTCTCAATAATAATAAACAAATAAGGCTGGGTGCAGTGGCTTACGCCTGTAATCCCAGCACTTTGGGATGCCGAAGCGGGGAGGATCTGAGGTCAGGAGATCGAGACCATCCTGGCCAACATGGTGAAACCCTGTCTCTACTGAAATACAAAAAATTAGCTGGGTGTGGTGGCTCGCATCTATAATACCAGCTACTCGGGAGGCTGAGGCAGGGGAATCACTTGAATCCGGGAGGCAGAGGTTGCAGTGAGCCAAGATTGAGACACTGCACTCCAGCCTGAGCAACAAGAATGAAACTGTCTCAAAAAAAAAAAAAAAAAAAAAAAAAGAAGAAGAAGAAAAAATAATAATCATGCAGAGCAATAGTCACCAAGAGTGATAGAGCTGGCTGGGTGTGGTGGCTTATGCCTATAACCCCAGCTCTTTGAGAGACCGAGGCAGGCAGATGACCTGAGGTGAGGGGTTTGAGACGAGCTTGGCCAACATGGTGAAACCTTGTCTCTGCTAAAAATACAAAATTAGCTGGCCATGGTGGCAGGGTGCCTGTAATCCTAGCCACTCAGGAGGCTGAGGCAGGAGAATCGCTTGAACCAGGGGGGCAGACGTTGCTGTGAGCTACCGTGCCACTGCACTCCAGCCTCGGCAACAGAACGAGACTCCATCTCTTTAAAAAAAAAAAAAAAAAAAAGATACAGCTAAGGGTGTAAAACTTTCTTGAGATTTGCATTACATTCACATAAGTATCCTGAGGCAGGGTGTGGGGAGAACTACTCAAGTGCACTCCCTAAGTGTATGTTCCCAACACTCTATTTAAATTCCAAAAACAACAACAAAAAAATTGTTGTCTCTTTCAGCCTTAAGAGCCTAATGATGTGTGGTGATTGTCTGTTACAAAGTAACCTACTGAAGTGCGGTAAAACTCTGTTGGTACAAAGCACATGGTGCATTCATAGTTATGACAAATGGAATTTTACTAATTAGCACGAGATCTCTGATGCATTGTGAATAAAACAGTAGCAAAATGTCATGCCAGCAGTACCTGTGAATCCCTAATCAATAACATGCTATTGTGGTTCATCTTTGAGGTTGCGGTTTCCACGAATCTTTGAGGTTCGTGGTTTCAGTCTTCCCTATACAACAGCGATGGCCATTCCCTGTAGAAGGTGGTCCCCATTTTCCCCTGAATTATTTCCACCATGGAATCAGTCACTAGTAGTCCATTACTCTCCTCCCACAAATCCCCGTGTCTAAGGTCTTGGGCTGCTCTATTTCAAGGTCTGTTTGTGGGGCATCTCCTTCCTGTAACCCAAAGTGCCCTCTGTCGGAGCACCCTGAACGCAGTAAGGATGATGATCAACATCATCATTTTGCTTTATTCTCTGTCTGCCCCTATGCTTGGTAATTCAATTTGCAAAAGCAGAATCCTGATTCTTCAAAGAATTTGAATAGAAATCATCCTCATCTCATGCAATGAGCCCTTCCATCTTGCTGATTCTTTCCCAGACATCACCATGAAAGGTGGGTAAGGAGGCGTTATCAACAGATTTCAAGGTTTAGGTTGAAAGTCATAAATTCTAAAGTATAGAGCAGTCGCCTGCAAGACACCTAAAATAACTAAATATTTTAAAATCTGAAGATAACCAGTGACTTCCAAACATCCTGCAACCTTTACTATACATCATGCTGTAGGTTTTAACATATTTGGACTTGCAATTTTTCTACAATGTGTAATATGAAAAGTTGAGCATGCGCAACTAGACTGAATGATTCCCCACACAAATCCTTGGATGTTTTAGTGTTTGTTCATCCCTGGGTAACACAAATCCTTGGATGTTTTAGTGTTTGTTCATCCCTGGGTAATCACTTCAACATGCGCAAAACATACAAAGATGTATATTTTGATGTCTAGTAAGTTGTGAGACTTAAGCCTCTGCCACATACATGACGCTCATATGATTTCTCTTTAGATGGACTCTGATGTCAAGGAATGCTTGAACTCATGATGAAGGGTTTGTTGTACTTGTAAGGCTTCTGTCAGGAATGAAATTCTCTGTGGCTGTGCAGGATTGAACTGTCACTGAAAACCTCGCCAGATGTATTATAGTCGTAAGGTTTCTCTCTGACATAAATTCTTTGATGACTCACAAGATTTAAACTTTGACTGAAGACCTTGCCATATTAATTTTTTTATAAGGTTTCTCCTTAGTATGGATAATCTGATGTCTCATGAGGTTTGGGCGCACACTAAAAGACTTCCCACAATCATCACATTTGTAAGGTTTCTTTCCAGTATGGACTATCTGATGTCTAGTGAGATTTGGGCGGACACTGAAGGATTTGCCACACTCATTACATTCGTAAGGTTTTTCTCCAGTATGGATGACCTGATGGGTGGTTAGGCTTGAATGTACACTGAAGGCTTTGCCACACTCATTACATTTGTAAGGCTTCTCTCCAGTATGGATGACCTGATGGGTAGTTAAGTTCGAATGCACACTGAAGGCTTTGCCACACTCAGTACACTTGTAAGGTTTCTCTCCAGTATGAACTCTCCGATGACTGGCAAGGTGTGAATTGTAACTGAAAACCTTACCACATTCATTGCATTTGTAAGGTTTCTCTCCAGTGTGAATTCTCCAGTGCCTTGCAAGGCTTGAGGTTTGACTGAAGACTTTACCACATTCATTACACTTGTATGGTTTCTCCCCAGTGTGAATTCTCTGATGAGTTGCAAGGCTTGAAGTCTGACTGAAGACCTTGCCACACTCATTGCATTTGTAAGGTTTCTCTCCACTGTGAGTTACCTGATGGTTGGTCAGTGTTGACCTCACACTAAAGGCTTTGCCACACTCATTGCACTTGTAAGGTTTCTCTCCAATATGAATTTTCCGATGCAGTGCAAGGCACGAATTGCGACTGAAGACCTTGTCACATTCACAACATTTGTAAGGTTTCTCTCCAGTATGAACTCTCCGATGTAGCGCAAGGCATGAGTTGCGACTGAAACCTTTATCACATTCATTACATTTGTAAGGTTTCTCCCCAGTATGAACTCTCCGATGACGTGCAAGGTTTGATTTTTGACTAAAGACCTTGCCACATAGATCACATTTGTATTGTTTCTCTCCAGAATGACTTACCTGATGCACAGTCACATGTGAGTCATGATTAAAGGCTTTGTCATGCTCATATCTGTAAGGTTTTTCTCTAATGCACGATTTCTGTTCTTGTGAGAGTAATGAAGAACAGATGAAATCAGTCCCACATTTATTAGAAATATGGGTTTTGATGGCAGAAGAAATTATTTGGAGTGGTGGCACTGTGGAACCATGGTTGACAGACTTCTCAACATGGTCACATTCATAAATTTTCCCTGCAGCTTGAAATTGCTGCAGTTCAGGGGGGTGGGATAGAAAGCTTAATCCAAGCTGATTTTTAATAGACTTGTTTTCTATACTTTCTCTATCATGGTAGTCTCTTCTACAAGTAAGATTTTCTTTTTGGGTTATAGTCACTTTGTTGTAATTTCTTTCATCGTATCTCCACTGACAGTTGAAGTCGTGTATTTTTTTCCTGATTTCCCTGAAGCAAAACTCTTGCATGTCAGGTGTTTCATGCTGTTCCAATGCCACTGTGTGGAATACTTCCCCCATGTTACTTTTCTGTTTTGGTGCTAATTCCTTGATCACACCGTTATGAGACAGATCTATAAGAAATTAAAAACCATAGGTTTCCAATTAATTAGAAACAGTACATAAATATTTCCTTTTTTTTTCTTTTTTCTCTTTTTTGAGACAGAGTCTTGCTCTGGCACCAGGCGGGAGTGCTGTGGTGCAACTTCCACTGACTGCAACAGCCTCCCAGGTTCAAGTGATTCTCCCACCTCAGCCTCCTGAGTAGCTGGGATTACAGGCACGCGCCACCACACCCAGTTAATTTTTGTATTTTTAGTAGAGACGGGGTTTCACTGTGTTGGGCAGGATGGTCTCGATATCTCGACCTCGTGATCTGCCTGCCTCAGCCTCCCAAAGTGCTGGGATTACAGGCATGAGCCACCGTACCTGGCATACATAAATATTTCATACTGAATAACAGTATTACACAGAAACATTTATCTACAACAGAGTTATAAAACTTCCCAATCATGATCTTTAATTTTTAGGAACACAAAGGAATCACATTCTTTAGTAAAAGAAGAGGGATTTCATGTAATTCAAATCAATTCTAGAGAAGGACAGTTTCAAATACCCTATGACCAAAACACATTGTCCAAACCTAAGTTTCTCTCGAAATGAGTGTTTTTTTTTCTTTGTTTTTGTTTTTTTACCTTGACCACAAAGTACACACCAATTGGCAGAAAACACATGGCTGCCTCATTATCGAAAAGAAATAAATATTACATTGTACCTAGCTACAGCACATTTACTGTGCCCATACAAATGTACTACACAATATATCATAATAGTAAATAAGGCCAGGCACGGTGGCTCAAGCCTGTAATCCCAGCACTTTGGGAGGCCGAGGCGGGTGGATCACGAGGTCAAGAGATCGAGACCTCCTGGTCAACATAGTGAAACCCCGTCTCTACTAAAAAAAAAAAAAAAAAAAAAAAAAAAAAAATTAGCTGGGCATGGTGGCGCGTGCCTGTAATCCCAGCTACTCAGGAGGCTGAGGCAGGAGAATTGCCTGAACCCAGGAGGCAGAGGTTGCAGAGAGCCGAGATCACGCCATTTCACTCCAGCCTGGGTAACAAGAGTGAAACTCCATCTCAAAAAAAAAAAAAAATAGTAAATAAGCCACAACAAACTTAGGCAATGAATAATGTACATAAATGATAATTCTGAATTGCAAAACAGTAATAGCACTGCAAAAGTGAGAAAAAAATAAAATACTGTTAAAAATAGTTAATTTTTCTGAATACCTGTTATGAAACTATCTGTACCCATCCAGACCAGGCATTTTTGACATTAATGAGTGATGCATGTCAGTTACATTGCATGAAATGTACTAAAAGTCCATCGTCTGTAAATCATAACAATTAATAAAACACTGTAGCAACCTGTGATAAAACCAGCAAACAAAAAAACTAGTAACTACACTTGTACAAAGTGACTATTTCAGAACCAGCACACAACCTGTGAACCGGAATATATGAGTTTTTTGTTTGTTTGGTTGGTTGGTTTCTTTTGAGATGGAGTTTCGATCTTGTTGCTCGGGCTGGAGTGCAATGGTGTGATCTTGGCTCACTACAACCTCTGCCTTCTGGGTTCAAGCAATTCTCTTACTTCAGCCTCCCACATAGCTGGGGATTACACAGGCACACACCACAATGCCTGATTAATTTTTTATATTTTAGTAGAGATGGCATTTTACCATGTTGACCCAGGTGATCAGCCCACCTCAGCCTCCCAGAGTGCTGGGATTACAGGTGTGAGCCACCACACCTGGCCAAAAGTCAGTTTTCCGAGGAAAAATCATGCAAACTTAAGAGAAAAAAAAAATCAGGAAGAGCCAAGGTTTTTCTACAAGCATATAGTAGTGTGACCAATGGAAGAGAGAAAAAAATACAACATATGAGGCCAGATTCTGAAAGATCTTGAGATGGGATTGTCTGCTCTGCCTACAGATGGATCCTAAGCTAAGAGCCAGAAAGACTAAGATACACTCCCTGTGTAGGACAGGGGAACACCGTGAAGACCTGTGAACTACACTTACAGTTCTGCTGAGTGACAGTCTCAGAAGATCCAACCCCCTCCCCTGGTCCATACACCCACGAACTGTGACAAAAGCAGAACAGAATGGCTGAGGGACCTCAACAGGCAGAGGGGCTTGACATAGCTCCTAGCATCTCCCGGGGCCCCAGATGCAAAGGAGGAACACCTGTTTCCCATCTCCTGAGCAGGTCTTCCCAGCACGGGAAATGGGGTGGAGCATGGATGGCTCTAGGCATCAGGTCTGTGGAGGCCTCAGCTCTGATCTATATGGAAAGTGAACTGAGCGTCAGACGGCAGCAAGAACAGGAGAGACCAAGGGAGAAGCAGACCCTGTGATGTGGCTCTTCCTGGACCCCTCGGAGTGAAGGAGGCAGAGAGTTCACAGAAGCCAGATGGCACTGTTGTCCATCACGATGAGCACTTCCACTCGTCTCTGTTTGAGCTGCAGCCCCACTGGAGGGCAAAAGGATTAACCATTAGACATCTCAAGAGCAGAGGGATAAGGTGAGGGGGTGAGGGGGTGGAGTTTAAAACTTCCTGTAAGAGCTCACAGGACATGAACATTTGTTTTCCCATAGAACTTTCTCAACTTGTGGCCGGGCGCGGTGGCTCAAGCCTGTAATCCCAGCACTTTGGGAGGCCGAGGCGCGTGGATCACGAGGTCAAGAGATCGAGACCATCCTGGTCAACATGGTGAAATCCCATCTCTACTAAAAATACAAAAAATTAGCTGGGCGTGGTGGCGCCTGCCTGTAATCCCAGCTACTCGGGAGGCTGAGGCAGGAGAATTGCCTGAACCCAGGAGGCGGAGGTGGCGGTGAGCCAAGATCGCGCCATTGCACTCCAGCCTGGGTAACAAGAGCAAAACTCCGTCTCAAAAATAAAAATAAATTTAAAAAAAGAACTTTCCCACTTGCTGAGAGCTTCCAAACAGTATTTAATGGCGTGGCTTCCTCTCTCCCCAACTGAGGTCTTACCTATTTTTCACACCTTTGATCCATTCCCACCCTTTTGGTTTTCTTGCTATTTGCATTGGCTTTCTTCAGACCAGTGCTCTTTCCTATGCTCCAACATGAGATAATACTCTGGCCAGGAAGAGAGTTTCCTGCTTATAAAATGAATGGAACATGATGTGCTATGGCTTTTCAAGAATCTCAACCCTTGGCTGGGCACTGTGGCTCACACCTGTAATCTCAACACTTTGGGAGGCCGAGGTGGGTGGATCATGAGGTCAAGCGATCAAGACCATCCTGGCCAACATGGTGAAACTCCGACTCTACTAAAAATACAAAAAATTTGGCTGTAGTCCCAGCTGCTCGGGAGGCTGGGGCAGGAGGATCACTTGAACCCCAGGAGGCAGAAATTGCAGTGAGCCAGGATCACACCATTGCACTCCAGCCTGGCAACAGAGCAAGACTCCAACTCTAAAAAAAAAGACTCTCAGCCCTTTGCTTGGATAAGAAGAGAGGATATCACAGGTGGATCTAGGAAAATATTTCACAAATTCTTTCACTGAATGCCTACTCTGAATGCTTCGGGAAGACTGTCACATGCAGATACCTAGCCATCTTCCAAGAACTACTGAATCAAAGCACAGCTGGGTGAAAACAAGAAGTGAATATTGCAAAAGTCTACCATAAGCTTTCATGGATACTTCCTCTCCGGAACCACCACCGTTGTATCATGAAGGAGTCAGAACATCTAAGGAGAGCGGATGGTTAGACTCCGGAACCCACATTATGGAGCTCTTCAGTTCAGAGTCAACAAGGCTTTAAACTCAGTCAAGCAATGCAGGGCCTCCCAAGGAGCACACAAGGAAAACGGAAAGATACAAGGGCAGATTTTGACGGCTGAAGGGACATTATCCTCACCCAGAGAGACCAGGTTCCTGTAGTTCTCCAACATCACGTCCCTGTATAAAGTCCTCTGTGCAGAGTTCAGGCATTTCCACTCCTCTTGAGAGAATTCGATGGCCACGTCCCTGAATGTCAAGTGTCCCTAAAATAATAAACACATTTCACCAAGGGGTTATGCAGAGAGTTACCATCTTCACACAAAATAAGAATTAAAGAGAACTGTAAGTATAGATCTAATTGAAGTGTGTGTTCTGATAAATCCATACTAAGGTATTTTTGAGCACATATTTCTCCCTAATGGTGTGTTTCTTTTTTTTCCTTTTCTTTTCTTTCTTTTTCTTTTTCTCTTTTCTTTTCTTTTCTTTTTTTTTTGAGACGGAGTTTCACTCTTGTTACCCAGGCTGGAGTGCAATGGCGCGATCTCGGCTCACCGCAACCTCCGCCTCCTGGGTTCAGGCAATTCTCCTGCCTCAGCCTCCTGAGTAGCTGGGATTACAGGCATGTGCCACCATGCCCAGCCAATTTTTTGTATCTTTAGTAGAGACAGGGTTTCACCATGTTGACCAGGATGGTCTCGATCTCTTGACCTTGTGATCCACCCGCCTCGGCCTCCCAAAGTGCTGGGATTACAGGCTTGAGCCACCGCGCCCGGCCAATAAGTACCTTCTTAGAACAATAATAGAATGAAATTAGAAATCAATACCATAAGAAACTTTGAAAACTGTACAAATACATGGAAATTTGATAGCATGCTCCTAAACGACCAGTCTAGGAAGAAATCAAGAGATAAATTTAAAAAAATCTTGAAACAAGTTAAAATGGAAACACAACATGTCAACACCTATGGTATAGAGAAAAGCAATGCTAAGAGGGAAGTTTATGGCAATAAACACCTACTTGAAAACAATAGAAATATTTCAAATAGGCCAGGTGCAGTGGGTCACGCCTGTAAGCCCAGCACTTTGGGAGGCTGAGGCAGGTGGATCACCTGAGGTCAGGAGTTTGAGACCAGCCTGGCCAAGATGTTGAAACCCCCGTCTGTACTAAAAACAAAAATTAGGCGGGTGTGGCAGCACACACCTGTAATCCCAGCTACTCAGGAGGCTGAGGTGGGAGAATCACTTGAACCCGGGAGGCAGAGGTTGCAGTGAGCCAAGACCATGTCACTGCACTCCAGCCTGGAAGACAAAGGGTAAAAAAAAAAAAATTAAAATAGTCTAACAATATACCTCAAGGAACTAAGAAAGCAAGAACAAATCAAACCCAAAATTAGTAGAAGAAAAAAATAACTAAACAAAATAAAGACTACAAAAAATACAAAGGATCAACAAAATGAAATGTTATTTTTTTTTTTAAAAAAAGATAACATAATCTGTAAACGACTAGCTAGAGGAATCAAGAAGAGAGAAGACCAAATAAGCGAAATCAAAAATAAAAAGGATACATTACAACTGGTAACAGAAATACAAAAGATCATAGAGATTATTATAAATAACTACATACCAATGAACTAGAAAACCTAGAGGAAATGGATAAAATGCCTGACACGAAACACCAAGACTGAATCAGGAAGATTCAGAAAACCTTAACAGCCCAATAATGAAATTTAATCAGGAATAAAAAGTCACCGAACAAAGAAAAGTCTGGGACCAGAAGGCTTCACTGCCGAATTCTACCAAACTTTCAAAGAAGATCTAAGAACAATTCTGCTCAAGCTATTTTATAAAACTGAAACTGAGGGAATTCTCCTTAATTCATTCTATGAAGCCAGCATTCCCCTGATATCAAAAACCAGACAACAACAACAACAAAACTATAGGTCAAAATCCCTCATGAACATAGGTGTAAAAATCAACAGCAAAATACCAGCAATTGAATACAAAATCACATGAGAAAGAAAATACACCATGATCAAGTGGGATGTATCCCAGGGAAGCAAGGATGGATCGACATACAGAAATCAATATATTTGATACATTAACTGAGTGAAGGGGAAAAACAATATGATCATCTCAACAGACACAGAAAAAGAATTTGATAAAATCTAACATCCCTTAAAAAACCCTCAACAAGCCGGGCGCGGTGGCTCAAGCCTGTAATCCCAGCACTTTGGGAGGTCGAGGCGGGTGGATCACGAGGTCAAGAGATCGAGACCATCCTGGTCAACATGGTGAAACCCCGTCTCTACTAAAATACAAAAAATTAGCTGGGCATGGTGGTGCGTGCCTGTAATCCCAGCTACTCAGGAGGCTGAGGCAGGAGAATTGCCTGAACCCAGGAGGCGGAGGTTGTGGTGAGCCGAGATCACACCATTGCACTCCAGCCTGGGTAACAAGAGCGAAACTCTGTCTCAAAAAAAAAAAAAAGAAAAAAAAAAAAACCCTCAACAAACTAGGTATAAAAGGAGCATATGTCAACACAAGAAATGCCAAGATGGCAAACCCACAGCTAAAATCACACTGAATGAAGAAAAGCTGAATGCTTTTCCTCTAAGAACTGGAATAACTCATAGATGCCCACTTTTACCACTTCTTTTATTTATTTATTTATTTATTTATTTTGGACAGAGTGTTTCTCTGTCGCCTAGGCTGGAATGCAGTAGCATGATCTCTGCTCACTGTAACCTCCGCCTCCCGGGTTCAAGCAATTCTCTGCCTGTGTTAGCTGGGATTACAGGTGCCTGCCACCATGCCCAGCTAATTTCTATACTTTTAGTAGAGACGGGGTTTTACCATCTTGGCCAGGCTGAGTCTTGAACTCCTGACCTTGTGATCCAACTGCCTGGGCCTCCCAAAGTGCTGGGATTATAGGCGTGAGCCACCATGCCCGGCTACCAGTTCTATTTCACACAGTTCTTGAAGTTCTAGCCACAGCAATCAGGCAAGAAAAAGAGATAAAGGACATCAAATTGAAAAAGAACAAGTGAAACTGTCCTTCTTTGCAGATGATATTAATTTAAAAACCCTCAAGGGCTCACCAAAAAACCCTTAGTTCTGATAAATTCAGTAAGGTTGCAGGTGACAAAATCAATATACAAAAATCAGTAGTGTTTCTATACCCCAAAAATGACTAGGTGAGAAAGTAGTCATGAGAGCAAAATCACAGGAATCATGAAAGCAAAATCAATTTATACCTAAGAATGGTAGGCTGGGCACGGTGGCTCACACTTGTAATCCCAGCACTTTGGGAGGCAGAGGTGGGTGGATCATGTGAGGTCAGGAGTTCGAGACCAGCCTGGCCAATGTGGCAGAACCCTGTCTCTACTAAATATACAAAAAAGCTGGCGTGTTGGCGGGCGCCTGTAATCTCAGCTACTTGGGAGGCTGCGGCAGGAGAATTGCTTCAACCTGGGAGGTGGAGGTTGCAGTGAGCCAAGATCACACCGCTGTACTCCAGTCTAGACAACAGAGCAACACTCTATCAAAAAAAAAAAAAAAAAAAAAAAAAAAAAAGGAAGAAAAACCTGGGAATGGATTTAACCAAGGAGGTAAAAGACGTCTATGAAAAGAACCCTGCAAAACACTGATGAAAAAAATTCAAGAGGACACAAACAAATGGAAAGACATTCCATGCTCTCAGAAATAGAAAGAATTAATATTTCATTTATTTATTTTTTGTTGGTTGGTTTTGTTGAGATGGAATCTCTCTCTGCTGCTCATGCTAGAGTGCAGTGATGCCATCTTGGCTCACTGCAACCTCTGCCTCCCGGGTTCAAATCTCCTGCCTTAAGACTCCCGAGTTGCTGTGATTATAGGCATGCACCACCACATTTGGCTAATATTTTTGTATTTTTAGTAGAGAAGGGGTTTCCCCATGTTGGCCAGGCTGGTCTTGAATTTCTGACCTCATGATCTGCCCACCTCAGCCTCCCAAGGTGAGAATTAATATTGCTAAAATGACCATACTGCCCAAAGCAATCTACAGATTCAATGCAATCTCTATTGAAATACCAATATCATTTTATTAAAAACAGAAAAAAGAATCCTAAAATTTGTAAAAACAGAGCCCAAAGAGTCAAAGCAATCCTGAACAAAGCTGGAGGCATCACTCTATCTGACTTTCAAAATATATTACAAGCCTACAGTAATCAAAAGAGCATGGTATTGGTATAAAAACAGCTACACAGACCAATGAAACAAAATTGGGAACCCAGAAATAAATACATGTACCTACAGCCAAATGATTTTTGACAAAGGCACCAAAAACGTACACTGGGGAAATGAAATCCTCTTCAATCAATGGCACTGGGAAAATTGGATATCCATGTGGAGAACAATGAAATTGGGTCCTTATATGGCACCATATACAAGATGCATTAATGACTTAAAAGTTAGACCCCCAAACTATAAAATGAGTATAAGAAAACAGGGCAAACACTTCAGGACACTGGTCTACACAAAGGTTTTTTGGCTAAGACCTCAAAAACTCCAATGGCAAAAATAAAGATAGACAAACGGCACCACATTAAATTAAAAGCTTTGCACAGAATGAAGAAACAACCTGTTGAACAGAAGAAAATATCTGTAAACTGTTCGTCTGACAAAGGACTAATATTCAGACCATACAAGGAACTCAAACAATTCAACAGTAAATAAAGAAATAATCCCATTAAAACATGGGCAAAGGACAGAATTGACCTTTCTCAAAAGAGGACATACAAATGGCCAACGGATACATTAAAGGAAAAAAAAAAAACCTTAACATCAGTAATCATCAGAGAACGAGATTAGCAAAGTATCATCTTACCCTAAACTGACTATTATTTAAAAAGACAAAAAATTAACAGTTGCTGATGAGGATTGTGGAGAATAGGTAAGTCTAATACACTACTGATGGCAATGTAAATTAGCCATTATAGGCCAGGTGTGGTGGCTCACGCCTGTAATCCCAATACTTTGGGAGACCAAGGTGCGTAGACCACCTGAGGTCAAGAGTTCGAGTCCAGCCTGGCCAACATGGCAAAACTCACTGCCCCTTGTCTCTACTAAAAATACAAAAATTACCAGGGCATCGTGGCAGGCACCTGTAATCCCAGCTACTCAGGAGGCTGAGGCACGGAGAACTGCTTGAACCCAGGAGGCGGAGGTTGCAGTGAGCTGAGATTGCACCACTGCACTCCAGTCTAAGAGAAAGAGCAAGACTCCGTCTCAAAAATCTAAATAATAAATAAATAAATAAATAAGTATAGCCATTATGAACAGTATGAATATTTCTTTCCTTTTTTTTTTTTTTTTTTTGGAGACAGAGTCTCACTCTGTTGCCCGGACTGGATCTGAGCTCACCACAACCTCGGACTCCCTGGTTCAAGCGATTCTCCTGCCTCAACCTCCCAAGTAACTGGGATTACAGGCACGCATCACCATGCCCAGATAATTTTTTGTATTTTTAGTAGAGATGGGGTTTCACCACGTTGGCCAGGATGGTCTTGAATGCCTGACCTCATGATCCACCTGCCTCGGCCCCCCAAAGCACTGGGATTACGAGTGTGAGCCACCGCACCTGGCCACAGTATGAATATTTCTCAAAAAACAAGACTAGAACTACCACATAATCCAGCAGTCCCATTACTGGGTATTTGTGAAGGGAGAAGAAATCAGTACGTCAAAGGGATAGCCTTACTCCTCTGTTTACCGCAGCACTATTCACAACAGCAAAGATATGGAATCAACCTGAGTATCTATCAACAGATGAATGGATAACAAAATGTGGTATATATGAACAATGGAATACTATTCAGCCATAAAAAAGAATGTAGCAACAGGAATGGAACTGGTGGTCATTATGTTAAGTGACATATGTCAGGCACAGAAAGACAAGTCTTGCATGTTGTCACTCACATGTGGGAGCTAAAAAGTTGATTGCGTGGAGGTAGTCAGTAGAATGGTAGTTATCAGAGGCTGCGAAGGGTGTGGGTGTGGCTGTAGGGAGGGAGGATGAAGAGAGGTTGGGTAATGAGTATAACTATAGTTAGATTGACAGAATAAGTTCTAATGTCTGCCAGCATTGTAAGGTGACTATAGTTATCAACAATGTATCGTATATTTCAAAATGGCTAGAAGAGAAGACTTGAAATATTCACAACACATAAAAATGATAAATACTCAGCCGTGTGCAGTGGCTCACGCCTGTAATCCCAGGACTTTGGCAGGCCAAGGCGGGCGGATCATGAGGTCAAGAGATCGAGACCATCCTGGCCAAGCTGGTGAAACCCTGTCTCTACCAAAAATACAAAAATTAGCTGTGCATGGTGGTGCGTGCCTATAGTCCCAGCTACTTGGGACGGTGAGGCAGGAGAACTGCTTGAACCCAGGAGGCGGAGTTGCAGTGAGCTGAGATGGCACCATTGCACTCCAGTCTGGGCGACAGAGCAAGACTCCATCTCAAAAGATAAAAAAAATACTCAAGGTAATATCCATCTTAAAAATCATTACTTGGCCAGGCGTGGTGGCTCAAGCCTGTAATCCCAGCACTTTGGGAGGCCGAGGCGGGTGGATCATGAGGTCAAGAGATCGAGACCATCCGGGTCAACATGGTGAAACCCTGTCTCTACTAAAAATACAAAAAATTAGGCCGGGCGCGGTGGCTCAAGCCTGTAATCCCAGCACTTTGGGAGGCCGAGGCGGGTGGATCACGAGGTCGAGAGATCGAGACCATCCTGGTCAACAAGGTGAAACCCCGTCTCTACTAAAAATACAAAAAGTTAGCTGGGCATGGTGGTGCGTGCCTGTAATCCCAGCTACTTAGGAGGCTGAGGCAGGAGAATTGCCTGAGCCCAGGAGGCGGAGGTTGCGGTGAGCCGAGACCGCGCCATTGCACTCCAGCCTGGGTAACGAGAGCGAAACTCCATCTCAAAAAAAAAAAAAAAATCATTACTTGATCATTACACATTCTATGACACATGCAACAAAATACAATACATTCTATGATACATATACAGTATGATGTATCAACTTGTAAAAGGAGCAAGCTATTAATAGGAACGCTTGTAAATAAAATACCACCACAAAACATTTCCTGAAAATCTCATAATGATTAAATACTTTTCAACTGCACTCAAGCTGTCTGTTCTCACAGAACTGACAGTCGTGGCTCACCATTGAGATGTCTGCGAGGGTATAAGGCTTGACAGGAAAAAAGATGCTCTATATCTTAGCACCCAAGTGTATCTCTATTTAGAGTTTCACTATAAAACAAATATACACATCACATAATGTTTAAAGTAAAGCATCATAATACTTAATAACAAAAGATATAAGAATATGGCTATATCCTCCATAATGAAAAAAGAGTTCTGTTCTGATATCTGAGCAAAACTGTTACCATTTTTACCTAAAATATCTGATACCTAAGAGACCCTGCAGGAATAGCACCACCTATGTGCTATGCAAGTGCTGAGAATGGTTTGAAAAACTGGCTGGGGCCGGGCGCGGTGGCTCAAGCCTGTAATCCCAGCACTTTGGGAGGCCGAGGCGGGTGGATCACAAGGTCAAGAGATCGAGACCATCTTGGTCAACATGGTGAAACCCCGTCTCTACTAAAAATACAAAAAAAATAGCTGGGCATGGTGGCACGTGCCTGTAATCCCAGCTACTCAGGAGGCTGAGGCAGGAGAATTGCCTGAACCCAGGAGGCGGAGGTTGCGGTGAGCCGAGATCGCGCCATTGCACTCCAGCCTGGGTAACAAGAGCGAAACTCCATCTCAAAAAAAAAAAAAAAAAAAAAGAAAAACTGGCTGGGCGTGGTAGCTCACACCTGAAATCCCAGCATTCCAGGAGGCTAAGGCGGGCGAATCACAAGGTCAGGAGTTCGAGACCAGCCTGGCCAACATAGCGAAACCCCATCTCTACTAAAAATACAAAAGTTAGCTGAGCATAGTGGTGGGTGCCTGTAGTCTCAGCCACTCGGGAGACTGAGGCTGAAGAATTGCTTGAATCCAGGAGGCGGAGGGTGCAGTGAGCTGAGATTGCACCACTGCACTCCAGCCTGGGTGACAGACAGAGACTTTTGTCTCAAAAAAAAAAAAAAAAAAAAAAAAAAAGTACAACTGTAGGACTTTTTTTTTTTTTTTTTTTTTTGAAACAAGAGTCTTGCCCTGTCACCCAGGCTGGAGTGCAGGGGTGCGATCTCGGCTCACTGTACCCTCCACCTCCTGGGTTCAAGTGATTCTCCTGCCTCAGCCTCCCGAGTAGCTGCAATTGCAGGTGTGTGCCACCACGCCCAGGTAATTTGTGTATTTTTAGTAGAGACAGGGTTTCACCATGTTGGCCAGGCTGGTCTTGAACTCCTGACCTCAAGTGATCCACTCGTCTCGGCCTCCCAAAGTGCTGGGATTACAGGCCTGAGCCACTGTGCCTGGCCTTACAGTTACACTTTTACACTGACTTTATGTTTCAAAGTCAATAATAGAATAAAACGCCCTCTATCACTGATGTCTGTATCTCAACCTTGGAGATGGAGACCCATTCCATTCCAAGTCATTAACAGTCTAGAGTCAGAGACATACTGATACATTAGTTTTATCTGGATGACAAAACCAGGCACAAAAAAATATCTTCTTACTGGCTGCCTTTTCCAGGATTTACCAGGTATTTGTTTACATTAATACATGACTTCCACTGGCAGCTGCTCCATTCCTGGTCTACAGAGAGCTGACGGTGCATCCCGATGTGGCCCCTGAACAATCCCCGCTGCCCAGCAGCCCTGACACCACGGGGCCCACACCCCGTCTCCACCCACATCTGGGGAGAGCCCTTCCCAGGACCATGCCCAGTGCAGCCTCTTCCCAAGCTCATGTCACTGGGTCACAAGGTGAGGTGGACTCTCAGCAGAGATGAGAGGAACTGAGGGAAGGCATGGGTGAGTGTGAACAAATGTGTCAGGCAGGACGCTTCAGACTCAGAGAAGATTCCCAACTCCAATGCACTGTCTCCTACCTTTCTGAAAGGAAGGAGACAGGGCCGGGTGTGGTGGCTCACATCTGTAATCCCAGCACTTGAGGAGGCCGAGGTAGGTGGATCACCTGAGGTCAGGAGTTCAAGGCCAGCCTGGCCAACATGGGGAAACCCCGTCTCTACTAAAAATATAAAAATTAGCCAGGCGTGGTGGCAGGCACCTGTAGTCCCAGCTACTCGGGAGGCTGAGGCAGGAGAGTTGCTTGAACCCGAAAGGCGGAGGTTGCGGTGAGCCGAGATCCTACCATTGCACGCCAGCCTGGGTAACAAGAATGAGACTCTGTCTCAAAAAAAGAAAAGAAGAGAAATGAAATGAAATGAAAAGAAAAGGAAGGAAGGAGACAGAACAGTCCACACAGAGTCTTCCTTTACCTGAGGAAGAGCCATCCCTGACTCCTTTGTTCTCCTCTTCCGGGTTTCTTCCTCACGTACCAAGAGTCTTTAGAAGTCAGTGCTGAATAACAACAAAAAGCTGTTTATTGCTCAGAAACAACATACCTCTCTCGCGTGACAAGCACACATACACACAGGGAGGAGCTCGCCCTGTGCAGAGACGGTCCTCTGCTGCCCACTGCAGCGGGGTGGACCCAGGGACGAGAAACTCCGACAGGAAAAGCAACAGGAAGACCAATACAGGCGTCTTCTGGCCCCTTTCTTCAGAACCCCTCCCCTCCCGGGGAAGCCCCCACACACCCCACAGCTGTCGGGAGCAGACCCCGCCCTGATCCAACCCCAGGTCCAGCCCAGCCCAGCTTCCCTCTCTGTGGATCCCAGGCTGAGCTCCGCCCTCAGAATAGACAGGAGCCTTGGTGTTCAGGGCTGGATGTAGATTAGAATCACCTTGGGCACTGTACTATTGAGGGTGGGTCCCAACCTACCTGAATGGGACTCTCTGGGACAGGGTTGGGGACACAGGGGTGTATCTGCAGAGTGCCTCACCACTTTCACATGAAGCCAGGGACGAGCTCTACTCAAACGGGGCAAGCCCAGCTCAGTCCCCACCTCCTGGCTCTCTTCTCCCCTTGGGGCCTTGGTATCATCAGGGTCCAGACAGTAGAAGCAGAAAGAATCCACAGAAACACGCAGAGCAGGTAATGTGGACCAGAGGTGGGGGTGAGGGTGTGGCTGGAGTGCTCCTCGGGAGGTGGGTCACAGAAGTCCCCACTGAGAAGGCGATATCAGAACAGACAGCCGGGAAGGAGGCGTGTCTGCACCTGCAGCTGAGGGGCCGGTGAGTTCCAGCAGAGACACAGCCCACGTGACGGCCTTGAGGCAGGAGAACCCTGGGCCCCAGGAACAGGAAAGAGGCCTGTGTGGCTGGAGCAGAGGGGGTGAGGACACAGGCACGAGATGAGGTCACAGAGGTCCCGGGGACCCAGATCAGGCAGGGCCCAAGTCTTCAAACATTTTTCTCCCACAACAATAAAGAATTTTGGAAACGATGTATTTCCTCACCCATTTTAATTAAACATATAGTATTTTCTTTATAAACACACTTAACGATGTAATATCTTATATATTTGAAATATAAAATATCCAGTCCAGCTAAGCCCCAGGAAATACATGGTCACCCTCATCTAAGATGTGCAGGACTGCAGGGGAATGCATCTGGGGAGCCAGGAAGTCACATTTGGACACATGTAAGTGGAGATACCTGTGAGATATCCTAGCAGAATGTTGAGAAGGCCAGGGGCAGTGACTCACACCTGTAATCCCAGCATTTTGGGAGGTCGAGGCAGGTGGATCACCTGAGAACAGGTGATCTACTAAAAATACAAAAAAATTAGCTGGGTGTGGTGGCGTAATCCCAGTTACTTGGGAGGCTGAGGCAGGAAAATCGCTTGAATCCAGGAGGCAAAGGTTGCAGTGAGCCAAGATCGCGCCACTGCACTCCAGCCTGAGCAGCAAGAGCGAAACTCTGTCTCACTCTGTCTCTCTCTCTCTCTCTCTCTCACACACACACACACACACACACACACACACACACACAAAAGAGGATGATTTGGCTGGTGGTTCTGCAGGCTGTGCAAGCATAGTGTCAGCATCTGCCTCTGATGAGGGCCTCAGGAAGCTTCCGTTCAGGGTGGAGGGTGAAGGGGTGCTGGCAGGGCAGATGAAATGATGAGAGAGGAGAGAGAGAGTGAGAAAAAGAGAGAGAGAGAGAAAGATCACGCTTTTTGACAACCAACTCTCAGGGGAATTAAGAGTTAGAACTCATTCCCTGGAGTACAGCATCAAGCCATTCCCAAGCAATCTGCTCCCATGACCCACAGAATTCTCACCAGACCCTACCTCCCACCTCAGAGATCACATTTCTTTTTCATTTTTTATAAAATTTTTTAAAAATTTTTATTTATTTATTTTTTGAGATGGAGTTTCGCTCTTGTTACCCAGGCTGGAGTGCAATGGCGCGATCTCGGCTCACCGCAACCTCCGCCTCCTGGGTTCAGGCAATTCTCCTGCCTCAGCCTCCTGAGTAGCTGGGATTACAGGCACGCGCCACCATGCCCAGCTGATTTTTTGTATTTTTTTTTTTTTTTTTTGTAGAGACAGGGTTTCACCATGTTGACCAGGATGGTCTCGATCTCTTGACCTCGTGATCCACCCGCCTCAGCCTCCCAAAGTGCTGGGATTACAGGCTTGAGCCACCGCGCCCGGCCCAAAGATCACATTTCAACATGAGAGTTGGTGAAGCAAAACAAATCACATCCAAACAATAGCATGTCCTGGCTATGAGTGGGGCTGGCACATGGTACACAGTTGCAGGGTTGGCAGCAGCCAGGGGCAGGAGCAGACCACTCCCAGTCACTGCTGGGTAGGGATCCCAAGCCCTGAGACAGGTGGGTCGGTGAGTCAGGAAAGATCTCTTTCTTTGCTTCCAGGGGCTCAACAGTGAAGAAACCAAGGCCTTTAAATGAACGAAAAGAAGAAAGAGGAGCTCCAGAGAAAAGGTGCTGAACAGCCAAACAGGGGAATGCAAGAGGAGCGGAGCAGGAATGAAGTGACACCAGGAAACTCAGGCCTATGTTTTCTCCTGACTGTGATCAGCCACACAGGAATGGAAACAGAGCAGGCAGAGTTGGACGTGCGGATGTCTGGGGGAAACAGAGAAGCTTCTCCAGGTGGCCAAGGGCAGTGGCTCAAGCCTGTAATCCCAGCACTTTGGGAGGTCAAGGCAGACAGATCACAAGGTCAGGAACTCAAGACCAACCTGGCCAATATGGTGAAACCCTTCTTGACTGAAAAAACAAACAAACAAAAATTAGCTGCGTGTGGTTGTGCGTGCCTGTAATCCCAGTTACTCAGGAAGCTAAGGCAGAAGAATTGCTTGAACCCAGGAGGCAGAGGCTGCAGTGATCCCAGATCGTGCCACTGCACTCCAGTCTGGCCACAGAGCAAGACTCTGTTTCAAAAAAAAAAAAAAAAAGAAAGAAAGAAAAAGAAAAAGAAACTTTTCCATATCCTTAGGGAATAATTCCACCAGTCCTGTGTTAGTGCACCTGACTCGCACATCAACTGGTAACTGAAAGGGTCTGTTTATCTCCATATCTTTTTTTTTTTTTTTTTTTAAGAGACTGGGTTTCCTCATGTTGGACAGGCTGGTCTCGAACTCCTGACCTCAGGTGAACCGCCCACCTTGGCCTCCCAAAGTGCTGGGATTACAGGTGTGAGCCACCTCACCCAGCCCTTGTTTGTCTGTTTTTAAACAGAATCTTGCTCTGTTGCCCGGGCTAGAATGCAGTGATGCAATCACAGCTCAGTGTAGCCTTGGCTTCCTGGGCAACAGCAATCCTCCCACCTCAGCTTCTCGAGTAGCTGGGACTACACGCATGAGCCACCACATCTGGCTGATTTTTAAATTTTTTACAGAGACAAGGTCTCACTATGTTACCTAGGCTGGTCTCAAACGGGGCTCAAGTGATTGTCCTGTCCTGGCCTCTCAAAGTGCTGGGATTACAGGCATGAGCTATAATTTAAAAAATAAACTGGGCCAGGCGCGGTAGCTCAAGCCTGTAATCCCAGCACTTTGGGACGCCGAGGCGGGTGGATCACGAGGTCGAGAGATCGAGACCATCCTGGTCAACATGGTGAAACCCCGTCTCTACTAAAAATACAGAAAATTAGCTGGGCATGGTGGCGCGTGCCTGTAATCCCAGCTACTCAGGAGGCTGAGGCAGGAGAATTGCCTGAACCCAGGAGGCGGAGGTTGTGGTGAGCTGAGACTGCACCATTGCACTCCAGCCTGGGTAACGAGCAAAAACTCCGTCTCAAAAAAAATAAATAAATAAATAAATAAATAAATAAACTGGATATGGTAGAGGCACACATTCTTTTTTTTTTTTTTTTTTTTTTTTTTTTTGAGATGGAGTTTCGCTCTTGTTACCCAGGCTGGAGTGCAATGGCGCGATCTTGGCTCACCGCAACCTCCACCTCCTGGGTTCAGGCAATTCTCCTGCCTCAGCCTCCTGGGTAGCTGGGATTACAGGCACGCGCCACCATGCCCAGCTAATTTTCTGTATTTTTAGTAGAGACGGGGTTTCACCATGTTGACCAGGATGGTCTCGATCTCTCGACCTTGTGATCCGCCCACCTCGGCCTCCCAAAGTGCTGGGATTATAGGCTTGTGCCACCGCACCCGGCCCGCACACATTCTTTTGTTTTACCATTTCTATTCCTGATGCAGACAAAAAAAAGAGCCTGGCATACACTGGAGCTCCTGCATTTGCTGAATAAATGAACAGAATACTGCGTGACACTAGTGCACCCTCTGGTACAGTGTTGACTTTGAGAAACTGATGTATGCAGGGGTCCTCTTGGACCTCAAGACGCCCTTCAGCAAGAGGGAGGGGGGAGCTGAGCAGGACCAGCTGAAAGGCAGAGCCACGTGCCTTTCATAGAAATACTCTACTTACCCACCAGGTGGAAGGGCAAGTGCCAGTTCAGCCAGAAACACCTGGCTATGGGTCCTGCCTGAGGCTGAGCAGACCCACGTGGCCAATAAAAGACCCTAAACTCACCGGGCACACTGGCTCATGCCTGTAATCCCAGAACTTTGGGAAGCCGAGGTGGGTGGATCACAAGGTCAAGAGTTCAAGACCAGCCTGGCCAAGATAGTGAAACCCCATCTCTACTAAAAATACCAAAAATTAGCCAGGTGTGGTATCGGGCGCCTGTAATTCCAGCTACTTGGGAGGCTAAGGCACAGAACTGCTTGAACCCGGGAAGCAGAGGTTGCAGTGAGCTGAGATCATGCCACTGCACTCCAGCCTGGGCAACAGAGTGAGACTCCATCTCAAAAACAAAAACAGGAAGAAAAAAAAAAAAAAGACAGTAAACTCTGTAAAAAGAAGAGAGACTTCTCTGTGCCCAGACCCCTACATGGAGAAAAGGTCCTGGGGTCTGAGATTTCTCACTTGGCTTCAATGACACTGGCTTGAATATTATTCACAGACCCAAATCCCTGCGTCTTGTGTGGGGCAAACTGACAGTAGGACTGCAGGAAGTGAGATCTGAACAGAGAGAGCATCAGAAAGGAAGGCAGAGGACTTGAGGGAGGGGATGAAGAAGAGGCACAAACAGACAACCCCTCCTGTCCCTCAGCTACCACCTGGGGAAGCGCTTGTAGCCCGTGTTAGAGAAGACGATGGGGAAAGGCAGAAGGGTGTGCACAGGGTGAGACGTGTGTTGGGTGGACAGAAAAACTCCTTTCCCTCAATGGGAGTCCAGTAGCTCACCTTACTCTACTGCACATTCCTGAGCAGAGGGGCGCCCTGCGGGGATGAACACAGCTCTTCCTTTTTCTAGTCCTGAGTCTGCCCGCCATGATCAGGGCTGGAACCCTCAAACTCCCTTGCCAGGGCCCAGCGACCCCTCTGCACTGGAGAAAGGTCCGTGTTCCACAGTGGGTTTCAAGGACCTCACCCCTCAGCTCCCGAGCTGCCTTGTGACTCTGGAACTCTGCTATCTTGGAACAAACAGGGAGAGGCCACTGTCCTGGCAGTTAAGAAAGTGGCAGCTTTATGTTCCTAAGGGCAGTCCCAGCGTAAGGCTTTGGGCTGCGGGTCAGTGTCCTGTTTCCCTCTGATTCTTGGAAAAATCCCTAACTCTGGGACCCTGATCACCACTCCCTCTTGAGTGGCACCCGCCCATAGACACCCCCCACAGCAAACCCTCCCTAATGAAAACCACGTGCCCCTGATTCTTAGGATCCCCTGTTTCCCTTCTGGACTCGACAGTCCCTCTCTGTCTCCCGATCCCCTCGGCCCACACATTCACAGGAGGCTTTGGAGTCAGACGTCTGCATCCTGGAGGGGCGCATTTTCCAGGGGGTGGAGCTGGGCAGGCCAGAAGACCGGGTGTCACAGGGCAGGCCCCGGCTTGAGGAGGAGGGAGGTGGGGGTGACGGCGCCTTCGGACAGGGGTGGGGTCTGCAGGATCCCAGGACCAGGCAGAGGACGCGCCTC